TTTTTTTTTTTATTTTTTTCCAACGGTTTCCAAAAACCGTTGGCCGCCTTCATTAGATTATATTTAATCCATTGATAGATTATATTTTTTTTTTTTCTTTCATATTCTTGAATTCTTTGCAAGCTTCTTAAATAAAAAAGATTATGGTATGAAAGATTCGACCCGCCCACGGGTAGTGCCCTCACACACGTACGGTTTTAGGGGCGATTGGATTAAGTTATCTTGGTTTCGATTTTATTTGTGGATAACAAACTTATTAAGTTTGAAAAAAAATTGATTATGTGAAATTTCGAGTTTGTATTAAAATATACTTCATCCTATTTTTAATAAATATCGTCTTGAAAAGTTACACAATTATTTAGATTTTTTTTTTGCCAATTATAACCCTCATTAATGAGGATATAGATGAATGTTTTGAAAAAAAGATGAAGAGTGAATATGAAAAGACTTAGTGTATTTATTAACTAGATGAAAAATCCAAAACGACATTTATTTAACTAATTGTTGATAAAGCTAAAATGACATTTAAAAAAATAGGAGAAAATAATAATAATTAAAGTTGATTTAATGTATAAGTACGATAATAGTGATTGGAAGTGATGCGAGTTAAAATAATTAATGTGAGTAATGAATAGTACATTAAAGTTAATGTGATGTGTGAGAATTATTGATTCATACTATCTAATTATATTGATAATATTGAAAAGAGTTGAGTTAAATTTGAGTTAAAAAAAATATATATGGTCAAAAGTGACCAAATCCCCCATCCCCCCTATATATTAATACAGAATGCGCTGAGCCTACGTGGCTGCTTCTGGTGCTTCGGAATCCTATGTGGCAAAATTGCTGTAACACCCCGAGTTTTATTAATAAAGGAAAATACTAGCTTTTAATGTTAAGCTAGCCTTTGTTAATAAATAATCAGGTTCATGTTCAAGTTCAAGCAATTCAGTCAGTCATATTCCAAGTTCGACTATTAGTCGATAAATTATTCGGTTAATTATTTCAGTAACCGGATAAGTTCCAGACTTAATTCCGGTTCGCTTCTTTATTTAAGGAGTTCGGAATTAATAAAGTGACGAATTATTCGGAACATTAATTTTCGGATTAATCGTTCAAGTCAAGAATGTTCGAATTAACTTTCGAATGTCATGTTCACGTTCGGAATAATTTTCGAAAATTAATTCAGTTAAAGTTTCTTATGTCAAGTTCAGTTTTCTTATACAGCGGTGTGTCCACAGTGGTACACCGTCCATCATTAATTAAGTAATGGTCATTAAACATTGCTTAATTAACTTAATCATGTTTAAGCTAATTAATCAAGATTAGCTTAAAGATAATCATGATTAGCTTAATGTTAATTAAGATTAATTAACATTAATGAGGATTAGTTAAGGGATAATCATGTTTAAGGTTTCATGAGTAAGTCATTAGCAAGTATTAAGCATGATCATAGTGCAAGCTTTCGCACTTATTACTAAGCATGGACGGACGCGCGCATTAGCGCATAAGCACGCCATTAGCGCAACCAACCGCGCTTAGCGAGCCTAATACTCAAGGCTCCACAACTTCACGTGCAAGTCAGCAGGTCAAGGACATTTGGAGGGCTGGGAGATATCGAGAGCATGACTAAGCATGTGTGAGTGGTGAGTCAGCCCGTTAAGGCCACCCAAACGCCCCTTAGCGTGCGGCAATTGGCGGAAGGGTATTGGCCGAGCTTTCTCTTCCCCTCTCTTCAATTTCTCCCGTGTATAAGTCAAGATTTGGGGCCAAAAAAATATGAGGATGAGTGAGGCCATATACACAGCAAAAATACTTAGCAATAATTCAGTAAAAATAGTACAAGAACACATACATATGCGCATAGGCGCGGAAGGGATGGTTCATGGCCGTTCGTGGGAAATTCCTCGAACCCTTAGTGAGGTAATCTCATCATCATTATCTATTCATGATAATCAATTCATGTTTAAGTCAGTTTCAGCAGCTTATGTCCAGAGGTTCGTATAAACATCAGGATATGTACGGTTTATGCCTTTTGGAGTCATGACCGAGTTAAGTCAGAATCCACTCGAACAACACTGAGCAATTCATGTTTATTTAATTATTTCAGATCATTATATGTTCAGCCTTAAGAGATGGGTCGAAGCAAATTGAAGTTTAGATCATAATTCGGCTCAAGGGAGTGAGCTGCGCATGTAGCGCATGCTCACGAGCCGTAGTATGTGCCTGTCATGTTATCATGCTATATAGTCAGAATTGTTCGAACAACCCGAGTCTCAATAAGCTTTAAATTGAATATAATGATCAGTTTCTCATGATTGTTCGATATAAGTTCATGTTCACTCGGGGGCTTGGCTTACCGCCGAAGGTGTGCGTACGGTGCGCACGCTTCAACACGCTCAGTAAGTAAAGTTCATAATTTTTCAGAAGAGTCCAGTATGTATAGTCATAGCAAGTCGCATCATGATGTTTTAGGTTGGTTCGGTCAAGAGTAATCATTAAACGGCCGGCCAAGGGCCGGTAGTGGCCAAGCTGTCCGCACAGTGCGGCAGCCATGCCCAGTCAGGCACGCCAGCGTACGGTAACGCACGCCAGCGTGCAGCAGTGCGTCGTTGGCCTCGGCAGCAGCCTGCGCGAATGGCCAGCATCACGGGGGTGCGCAGCGCACGACTGCAGCGTTCCCTTGCACGTCAATAGTATCAGCCGCACGTTGTGGAGTGCAATAACACCCGATAGTCATGTTCAGTGCACGCAACGCACACGCTGTTGCCCAGCGTTGTGTTTGCGATGCACCAGTCACGCGTCCGTCACGCAGGCCGGGCCAGTAGCCGCCAGCGTGCATAGCAGCCAAGTCCATGCACCGTTCATGCCCAGCGGCCAGTGCAGCGGCCAGTCTAGGCAGCAACCGCGTATGTGGCCTTGATAGGCTCGCTGGCCGAGTCAGCCGTCGATGGCCCGGTCCGAGCAGACCGGCGGTCCAATCAGACCGGTTGAACCGGTTCATTCTATATTCTAATCCCGGTTCATGTTTAAATATTATTTTAGTCCCGATTCATGATTTCAGTCCCAATTTCAGTTAAATTCCGGGTCCAGACCAGTTCAGTAAATTCATGTCAGTTCAGTTCCGAGTTTATTCAGTTCCCGGTTGTACCGGTCAAGTTCAGATATCATGTTTAAGTCCAGTAGAGCATCTTAACATATGAATCAGTTATTTTATCAGTCTGAGCATAGTAATTAGTAATTGTTTATATTATTTTCAGTTTGATCAGGATACAGATGAACAACACTTACGTTTTCAAACCATCAGTTAAGGTGGGGACTCAGACTGAGTACTACATTGATTATAATTATTCTACCATGTTTGAGGTATGTATTATCACTTCAGTATCCGCTTGGAATGGTTGCCGGTCCATTCTGGGTTCTAGTGGCCTTAGTCTGCCCACTAGAGTGTGCACATGGTGTCCGACTTTGCCGGCAGATGTTCAGGTTCAGTTCAGACGTGACTTATGTCACGAGATCAGTATCAGATTATTCAGACCGGTATCAGATATCAGTTTCATGTTCATGTTCATGCCAGGATCATGTTATTGTAATTATTTTTACTGTTTTACTTTAGTATGGGTTTCCACGGAGCACAGTGGACTTGAGTGCTCACGCCCCACTTTTATCATATTTTTCAGGTCATGAAGTCGGGACGGAGGTGCGAGATGACGGAGCTGTTCGGGATTATGCTTATAAAGTTTAAATTACCTAAGCTTTATGCTTATAAAGCTTAAATTATGTTATGTACAAAAGGAATTTGGCAAAGGAGTGTCGATATAACTTTCAGATAACATGTTTTCACGATTACGGCACTGCTAACCAAATTCTCAGCTACGGCTTCCGCTGATGTTTTACTGTTTGTCAAACTTAGCCCATTAATCAGTCAGCAAGCTGTTAGTTGGTTTTCAAAACCATAAGTTCAGATTTATTAGTCAGTTATGTATTTTAGTAGCACTCCGAATCAGTATTTCGCAATGTAAAACGTTTTATTTTGAATATAATTGCGAATTGTGCACTCTGATCTTCATGTCAAGGCGGGGTGTTACAATTACATGCTTCGTTATTAGGCTTGGTAAATTTTAATTTAATTCCAAACCAAAAATAACTAGGTTCGGATTACCATAAATATGTTGATTATTTATGGTCATGTTACATGTATTAATTGTATTTTAATATCATTCCTTATTATAACTATTAAATTGTATATATATTTTAAAAGTTAATAACTATTGTATTTTTTATCAGTTTTACATATGTAATATATCAAATTAATCTCCTTTTGATAAGGTTCGATTTAACATCCATATTGTATGTATAAAAAAATAATTTATATTTATCTTTATAACAATAATAAAATTATTTTTAATATTAATTAGAAAAATAAAATTATTTATCAACTAATATATTTATATTTCAAGTAGTTATATGATATAAGTTATAAAAACTAATATAATATAACACATGTAAGCCATAAGTAACACATATCATTCTAAAATATATAGTAATATATTTTTTTTTGTAAAAAAGTAAACTAAATTTAATATAATTTTCTCATTAATTTTAAAATTTAAGAATAATTTTTTAACAAGCACCCGTGTAATACACGAGTATTGTACTAGTATATATTAATCCAGAACGCGCCGAGCCTACATGGCTGCTTCTGGTGCTTCGGAATCCTATGTGGCAAAATTACATGCTTCGTTATTAAGCTTGGATAAATTTTAATTTAATTCCAAACCAATAATAATTAAGTTCGGATTACCATAAATATGTTGATTATTTATGGTCATGTTACATGTATTAATTTGTATTTTAATATCATTCCTTATTATAACTATTGAATTGTATATATATTTTAAAAGTTAATAACTTTTGTATTGTTTTATCAGTTTTACATATGTAATATGTCAAATTAATCTTATTTTGATGAGCTTCGATTTAACATCCATATTATATGTATAAAAAAATAATTTATATTTATCTTTATAATAATAATAAAATTATTTTTAATATTAATTAGAAAAATAAAATTATTTATCAACTAATATATTTATATTTCAAGTA